GGAGCGCGGGGGCAGGGCTTTGTTGATGCCTAGAGCCCATGCTGCTCCTGCCACCCGGTTTGAACTCTGAGCTCAGGGAAATGTGAGTCTAGTCTCAGCTCAGAACTTCCCAGATCCGCTGCCAGTGACTATCTCTTAGCCACTATCAGACTTGCCCGTTTTCCTAGCTTTAAAATAAGTGCTCTGTAGCTTTTCCTAGCTGTAAGTTAAATAACACCCACTTTATCAGGCAGTTTTAAAGATGGAGATTTAGTAAGGGACTAGCACATAGTCAATATCCAATACATCTTGGCAAACATGTAGAACACGTAATTACTAAATAAGATGGGGAAACTCAGGGGTCTTTGGGAGAGTCCGTCCATGGCTCTCAGCAGCGCTGCGTGCAGAAGAGGAAAATAAGTATGTTTATTACGGGATTGCTTCTTTTACTACTTTTTGTTCCCAGTGTCATATATATTTAGTATCGCAAACATTTCTACTTAATGTCATTATTGCACAGTGGTGGTCATTCTCTCCCAAGGGCTTTAGAGCTGTCATTGGAGACCTTTGGATTTAATAGCGATTAGTTCTGGCTTTCCGTTCAAAGCCACACACGAGCATCATCTTTGCTTGGTGTCTGCAGCGTTCCCCAGAGACCCCGAGATTGAGACGAGCGGCGTGTTAGTGAGCGGCAGCCCGGTCACCGTGAGCTGCAAGGTGCCGGAGGTGTACCCACTGGAGCGGCTGGAGATCCAGCTCCTGAAGGGGGGCCGGGTGGTGAAGAATAAAAACTTCCTGATGGGTGCGGACAAGAAATCCCTAGAGACTGGGAGTCTGGACGTGACCTTCGTCCCCACCACCAAAGACACCGGCGAAGCGCTTGTCTGTCTGGCTCAGTTACACATGGACGAGCTGGACTTGGAGCCCACACAGCGGCAGAGCTCACACACGCTCTACGTTAACAGTAAGTGTGGCGCACCCACGATTCCACAGGGGTTTCTTCATCTCTTTTGCCAGGCAATAGTCAGTGGACACGAGGTAAAGAGTTAAAACCTCCGTGAAAAAGAAAAAGACTGTAAAGAAATGTCCAAATAATGATTATTTTAACAAACACCCCCAACACTGAAGACAGTAACCGCCTATTGGCCTGTGACTCTATGAGACGGCGGCTTTGGAAGGGCAGTCAGGGTGTGTCGTCTGCTCAGTGTGGCCTGAGATGAACTCGTTCACGCGGTCAGTTGGCGGGTCAGTTGGCTGGTCAGTTGGCAGGTCAGTGGGGCCTTCCTGGGATGCCTGGGCCTCCCTTTCTCCATGTGCGCCCTCACCCGCAAGGAAGGTGGCCTAGGTTTAGCCACCAGAGTGAGGTGTTTCGAGAGGGAGATGAGGCCTGGGCTGGGAGTCCTACATGCGACTTCCTCCGTGTTATATGGGTCACAGGGAGCCACAGGGCAGCGTGAGTTCAACGGGTAGAAACAGGCTCTACCTTTTCACGGGAGAGTCCAATAATTTGTAGTCATGTTTAACGTTCCATAAATGTCAACATACACTGTCATCGATCATTCCCTCTGGGGTAGCAAGAGTTCCTATAGAACCTGTTTCCATTAGGAAATACCTAGGATGTGTCCATTTTCTTCTGTCTATGCTTCTGCATCTGCTAGGATAAAGGGACGGAAACCCCCTTTGGTGAAGTCATCAAGGTTTATGAACTGCTCTAAGCCACTGCTTGCATAGGTTTTGCAACATTATTAAAGCTCTTTGGAACTCAGGGCCTAAGGGATCAAGCTAACAAGTGTCCCGCCCTTTTCAGTTGCCCCCAGGAACACAAGCATCCAGGTCAGCCCCTCCTCCATCCTGGAGGAAGGCAGTTCTGTGACGATGACCTGCTCCAGCGATGGCCTCCCAGCGCCCAGGTTCCGGTGGAGCAGGCAGCTTAAGAATGGGCAGCTGCAGTTTCTTTCTGAGAATACAACGCTCACCTTAACTTCTACAAGAAGGGAAGATGCTGGTATTTATGTATGTGAAGGGAGCAGCCTGGCTGGGATAAGCAGAGATGAAGTTGAATTAATTATCCAAGGTGAGCAAAGTGTGATTAATGAGTTATTGCTAGTATTATTTTGGTTGTGTTAGTGGTTTTGAACAAAGTCCTCTTTAAAATTTTTATTTTTAAATTACACTTGATGCACAATATTATATTAGTTTCAAGTGTATAATCCCATGATTAGATATTTATGTAACTTACAAAGTGATCACACCAATAAATCTAGTATCCATCTGACACCATATATAGTTATTATAATATTATTGACGATATTCCCTGTGCTGTACTTTACATCCCATGACTATTCTGTAACTACCAATTTGTACGTCTAAATCTCTTCACCATTTTCATCCAGTCCCCAAACACCCTCCCATCTAGCAACTGCCAAAATATTCTCTGATCTATGAGCCTGTTTCTGCTCTGTGTTAGTTTATTATTATTATTATTATTTAGATTCCACATATAAGTGAAATCATCTGGCATTTGTCTTTCTCTGTCTGATTTCTTTCACTCAGCACAATTCCCTGTATGTCCATCCATGTTGTTGAAGATGATAAGATTTCAATCTTTTTTATGGCTCAGTCATAGTCCATTGTATATACCCAACACTTCTTCTTTATCCATTCGTCTGTTGGTAGACACTTAGGTTGCTTCCATATCTTGGCTGTTGCAAATAATGCTGCAATAAACATATGGATGTATATGTTTTTTCCATGTAGTGTTTGGGGTTTCTTCGGATAAAAACCCAGAAGTGAAATTGCTGGGCCCTTCCTTGTCTCTTGTTATAGCCTTTATCTTAAACTCTATTTTGTCTGGTATAAATGTTGCTACTCCAGCTTTTTGGTTTTTTTTTATTTGTTTGTTTTCATTTTCATGAAATATCTTTTTCCATCTCTTTATTTTCAGTATGTATGTGTCTTTTGATTTGAGGGGAGTCTCTTGTAGCAGCATATGTAAGGGTATTGCTGTTATCCATTCAGCCACCATATATCTTTTGATTAGAGCATTGAATCCATTGCATTTCAAGTAATTATTGATAGGCATTTATTATTCATATTTTTGATCTTATATTTTCTTTTTCTTCTTAAAGAAGACCCTTTAACATTTCTTTTAATACTGGTTTGGTGGATATGAACTCCTTTAGCTTTTTTTTTTTTTTTTGGTCTGGGAAGTTCTTTATCTGTCTTTTAATTCTAAAGGATAGTTTTGCTTGGTAGAGTAATCTTGATTGTAGGTCCTTGCTTTTTCATCACTCTGAATATTTTATGCTAATCCTTTCTGGCCTGCAAAGTTTCTATTGAGAAATCAACTTACAACCTTATGGGACCTCCCTTGTAGGTAACTAACTGCTAAGAAAAAAAAAAAAAGAGTATATGGGGCTTCTGGGACAACTTCAAGCATATCAATGTTTGCATTAGAGGGGTGCCAGAAAGAGAAGAGAGCAAGAAATAGAAAATTTATTTGAAAAAAAATAATGCTGGAAACTTCCCTAACCCAGTTAAGGAAATAGACATGGAAGTCTAAGAAGCACAGAGACTCCCAAACAAGATGAACCCAAAGTCCTCTTTGAAAACAAAATCTCTACTAAACAAATGTATTGAGGGTTTTGAAGAGCTCACGATGTTTCCTATGCCAGGAAAATGCCTGGAATAGTACTTTCTCATGAACCATACCAAGTCTGTTATCCTAAAACTCTTTTAAACCTCAAGTGGACTGCCAGGTCCAGGAACCATGCCAGGAATCCCAGTTACACTTATGAGGCAATGATTATGGTGTTGAAATAAGAATAAGAAGACATATGTAGGTATTTGAAAATTACTTATGATTAAAGCCACCATATCTAGCTGAATTGGACTCTCAGTGGTAATCTCACAAGGTGCCTGCTAGTATTTGCTTAAAAGCCTAAAGGGCACTTAAATCTTTGGTAAACGCTGAGATTAAGAATAGCAGTGACCACATCCTTTCGTTCAGTTTGATGGCATGGAAACACCAGAATGGATGAACCTATCAGATCCAGAGCCTCTCTCCAGGATGGAGATCCAAGACTGAGAACAAAACAGTTCCTAGTTGACAAGTTTAAGCTATAGGTAATTTTAGGCAAAACCATAAAGCAGGGGTCCTCAAACTACGGCCCTTGGGCCACATGCGGCCCGCCGAAAACATTTATCCGGCCCGCCGGGTGTTTTTGCCGCCGCTGCCTGTCCTCCTTAGCAGCCGACTCGTCCCGGGCCCGCAGTGCACATGTGTGGAATGTCTGAGGGACAGTGAACTGACCCCCTGTTTAAAAAGTTTAAGGACCTCTGCCATAAAGTGATCAATTTGGAGTTTTTCTCCATACTTTCCCTTTTGGGGTTCAAGGCCCTTTTCTTCACTGGGGCTCTCAGACTCCTTGGTATTATTTCCACTAAGGTATTAGTGACTTTCTTGTTACCTCATCTCAATAGTAATTCGTATTTTTAGGGAAGGACTTTGGAAGGGCAATGCACAACCTTAAAGAAAGCCCTTAGGATGGATGTCATGGTACTATCACTTGGGTTGAGGACAGAATCTCAAATCAAGTCAGAACAACAGATAAACTTATGAAATGGTACTAGAGGACCTCCTCCCCTGGGTTATGTCATCATAGAGATGCGGGATGTTAGGTACCTAGCCCAGTGCCTGGCACTTAGAAAATGGTGGTTGTGGTTGTTAAGGATGGGAAGAAAGCCATCTCTGCACAGCTGAATTTCTTGATCTGAGAGGATCCAGCCCATAAAAGCCTTTGTCTTTCAAGGAAGGACAAACTTTTTTGCTTACACGGCAATGCAACCAAAAAAGGGCTCTTTTTCACATTGGAATTCTATAGCTATTTATACAACACCTATCTTTTGGCTAGGCTGGGTAAAGGATTAAGGGACAGGCGAGAAGCATAAGAAATGTCTTCTCTTATTAAAAACATGACCTTTTACAACCAACCAGTCAATGCTTGACATCTTTACTCACCCCTCTAAACATGCACATATAGCTCCTTGACAGGTATTGATGCTATTATGAACTTAGTGCAGAAGTGGTTTATATTTCACCTAATCAGAGTTGCCTCTCAAATTCTCTTTACAGTCGCGCCAAAAGACATGCAACTTACAGCTTCTCCTTCTGAGAGCGTCAAGGAAGGAGACACTGTCATTATCTCCTGCACATGCGGAAATGTTCCCCAAACCTGGATAATCCTGAAGAAGAAAGCCGAGTCAGGGGACACCGTGCTCAAGTCCATAGAAGGCGCATATACCATCCACAAGGCCCAGTTAGAGGACGCGGGAGTGTACGAATGTGAATCTAAAAATGAGCTTGGCTTGCAGTCCAGAAGTATCACCCTTGATGTGAAAGGTTAGAGTTTGGGTCTTGTTTTTCAGAAATGTTAATGATAGGTCTGAATTTTGGTGGATGGTACAGAATTTCTAGGATGAGATGAATGAGTTGGCCAAAACGGAGCTCCATGTTGACAGTGTGCATTTCTTAATGCTTCCGAAGATAATAATGCACAGCTGCTCCACCTATGGAGTCGGGCCAGGAAGTTGACATGAATCCTTGGTGAGTGCAGAGTTCCCATCTGCTTTTCTCAAGGTTCACAACTTGGCACTGCTCTCTGAGGTCTTGTGTCTCCTAAGTGTTTCAACGTATTTTCTAAACCCTGGGGGTTCCAAGAAAATTGGAGCTGACATGGCAGGAAGAGGAGGGTTCCAGCCAGATCTGATTCCTTCCTAACAGAAGAGAACTTGATTCTCTGAAAACTGCCCATTTTCTGGATCAATTCTTCTCAGGATAATAATCATAACAATCAGGAGTGGCCATCTTGATGCAGAACCACTTTTATGAATATCTATAGAATTACCTCCTTAAACGTCCCAGCCCCTTGTCCATTCTATTTTATTCTGATGGAGGGGTGCGGGGAGCGGGCAATGGTGTCAGCAGAGAAACTTCAGGGGCTATTTAATCTTTTAACCCCTCAATGACCACTCAACAGGAAGACTTGTTGGTCTCACTGGTGGGAGCAGAATAGGCCAGCCTTTGCTCATCCATCTCCCTCTCCTTTGTGTGCCACTGAGCTCCCAGCTGTGGACCTGAAGCCCTACTTGGAGTGAATGGGATTGCAAACAAAGGCAACTCTCCTAAGAGCCCTGGGCACTTGGCCATCAGAGTTAGCAACTACTTGTCAATGGAAAGGGAATGTGAAACTAGGTCAGATAACAGGTAAACTTTTACTCATCTGGCCCAAACTCTCAAGACTTCAGGCCTTACGTTCTGTTTTCTGTCTCCACAGTACCTCCTCGAAACACGAAACACGACAATATCAATACACCCATCTAGAAATGTTAAAGAAGGGGAAAATGTTACAATTACATGTAAAACCTTTAGTCATCCGCCTGCAGTGATTGCCCTGAAAGAGTTGGTCTGGTCAATGAAGTGACCATGTGTTCAAAGAATGGAACATTCACCCTGTACCGGGTCACTGAGGATGACACGGGGGTGTATGTGATCAGAGCTTCCAATGAGGTTGGGGATGAGTCTGAACGGACTGAGATCTCAGTTATGAGTAGGTTGACATGCATGCATTCCTCTTTCCTTCAACCCTCCATGCCTGAGGCCACCTTCAATTAAGCCTAGCCCCAGGGAATCAGACTCCTAACACTTTTGTAATTTGGTTAACAATACTCTTTAAAGACAAATCACAGCTTCTCTACTTTCTAAAACTATTTCTGTCTTATCTAATTGTTCTACAAAATTAGTAATTTAGGTATTCGTCATGTTCACTTAACGATGACAGCATGTTGGGCACTCAGGAATTCAGGCCCCAGGCTAAATATGGTTTAAAATAATGACACATCAATGGAGACAGAACCTGATATTTTTCCTGGGTATTTTGAACTACTTTCCCCCTGTATTTATCTGAGGTTTAAAATGAACTTTGTTTTGTTTTGGCTTGAATGTATTCCAGTGATAGAAATAGTTGGGAGCCCTTAGGATTTTCAGTGTTTATACAGCTAATAGGAAACTGTGTTGGAACGTTGCTCTGGGAAGCAACTCAGCAGCAAATCTGTGTTTTACTGCAGATGCCTGAGGGGGAAAACTGAAGGCAAAAGCTAATGTTTATTAAATTTAAGAGGAAACAATAGGAGCAGAAATACCACTGCCCAACATGCCATTGGCATTGATGCCTAACCACGATGATGATAATGACTTCCCATTAAAACCTGACCCTTCCACTTAGACGAGTTAGATCTGCTCTAGCAAGGGGAAGGAGGAAAAAGAGGCGATTATCATTATGCTTAGGGTGAAGGGTAAAAACCTTAACAATTTGAAAAATTGACTTCCCAGCCTGACCCTCTCGATTCTTTTCTACTTGGGTGACCTCCAGTGATCAGAATCCTCTAGTCCAGTGATGGCGAACCTTTTGAGCTTGGCGTGTCAGCATTTTGAAAAACCCTAACTTAACTCTGGTGCTGTGTCACATATAGAAATTTTTTTGATATTGGCAACCATAGCAAGAGTCAGTCTGGTGACATGCAGGGGACATGGCACTTCAGACAGAGGGGAGAGCATAAGTAAAAAGAGTAAAAACAGAGGAGAGGACAGCACCGTGATGGCGAACCTTTTGAGCTCGGCGTGTCAGCATTTTGAAAAACCCTAACTTAACTCTGGTGCTGTGTCACATATAGAAATTTTTTGATATTTGCAACCATAGTAAAACAAAGACTTATATTTTTGATATTTATTTTATATACTTAAATGCCATTTAACAAAGAAAAATCAACCAAAAAAATGAGTTCGCGTGTCACCTCTGACACGCGTGTCATAGGTTCACCATCACTGCTCTAGTCAGATCACTCATTCTTCTGGGACTAGACACACACATGCCACCTGAAGACACAGAACCCCTGTGCGGTCACATGGAGCAGTGCAGACGGGGGTCCAGGCGGCAGTGTCTCCAGCCAGGGCCTGCTGTCTGCTGCAGAGGTTCTTGTAAGGCTAAGATACCAAATAGGCTTGCGGCTGTCAGATCATTTTAGTAGATTAGAGAGAGGACTAATTTTAGTTTTTGTATGCTATTACCTTCTGTACCCAACTTGCAACTCCATGACAAAATGACAGGCTATAGAGAGAAAAAATGTATTACTACTAAAAAATATGTAGCCCTGGCCAGGTGGCTCAGTTGGTTGGAGCGTCATCCCGTACACCAAAAAGGGTTGCAGATTCGATTGGGGCGCATACGGGAGACAACCGATCGATGTTTCTCTCTCCATCTCCCTTTCTTTCTGTCTGTCTCTCCCTTCCTTCCTCTCTCTAAGATCAATATATATTGGCTGCCAACTACTCCAAGCAGTGAGCCTGGTACTTGCTCTTCAGTGATGGACCAAAAAAACAAAATAAGTAACTTACAATCTGCAGGAGGAAACCAAATTTAATAGTCATACAAAAAAATGTTTAATTACAAGGTGTGATAAGAGCCAGAAAGGGGAAGTATAATGGGTTATGAAAGCATATTAGGGCTCCTGATTTAGGTTGGGGGAGCTGTAGGTCAGAAATTGACTCTTTGAGGAAGTGACATTTATGCTCAAATACAATACTATCCCCAAACTTCAGTTTATCAAGAGATGATATAAATGGTGAAGAGGAAGAACATGTATATTAAGATGCCCTACTTGAGACATAGTTTTCCATATATCTCTGTACAGGCCATTGGCAAGGACTCTTTAGCTTCCTGTCTTACATATGGTGTGTGACTATATGATCACACTCCAGATGTTACACGGATTTCCTTGCACAACTAAGTCGTTAGTCACGTCAGTTTGTGGTGACCAGAGTCCTAATTCTTTGGTACATATTTACATTTCCCAAAGCAAACACGCCTCTCCAAGGCTTGCTCTCGCATGTGAGCCCTAAGAAGTGGTGTCCCGCCTTCCATTCTACAAGTGAGCCTGCCCCTGTTTGCCTCCACGTTTGTGGGAGCCGACAGCTATCACTGACCCGCCATGGCCATGGCCACTGTTCGTGTGACTCAGGGGAATATGCATGTGGGGCCCTAAGGGCCCTTCTCCCTGCTTTGCTTCTCTTCTCTTTAGAGAACGTGTTGTACGTGCTGTGAACATATGGAAATGTGACAGTGAAACAATCTCTTTGTGTACTGGACATTAATCGCTCCCATTTCGTTATTTTCCAGGAAGAGAAGGTAACAAGGACTACTTCTCCCCCGGGCTCCTCGTGCTGTACTGTGCGTCCTCCTTAATCATCCCCGCCATCGGGATGATCGTTTACTTTGCGCGAAAGGCCAACATGAAGGGGTCCTACAGTCTCGTAGAAGCACAGAAATCGAAAGTGTAGCTGGCATTGGAAATGCTCGGCCACAGACACTATTTATCAGCCTGGAGCCTTCATTCCACTCCACGGGGAAAGCAACAGGCTGAGTCCTGACTTCCGGACACGGTGGACTCTCAGAGGGTGACGGCTGCCCAAGCTTCTGGCTGTGACCTGAAACCCAGGGCAAACTTCCTGCCGGAAACACAGGCAGAGGCACGGAGGTGTGCGGCCTGGAGCAGGCCCTTGATGTGTATATACAGTGCCAGGAACTGTACATATGTCACATAAAATCATGCCTTAGCAAGACTGCTTGGAATAGCAACACCTGCAAGGGAGACCTCTAAAATAATTCAACAGTGTTGCCTGGACTGGTTGGTCTAACTTAATGCATCTTAGGAAAATTTAACATTAACATGGACTGGCAGCTGACCTATGTCATCTTTTTATACTTTTTTCCCTTCCTATAACGAAGTTGGATTCCTATCAAGTTCACGGACAACAACGTCATGTTTGTTAAAACGCCAGGGTTTTATGTTTTACAGGCAAATGGTGAACCAAGAGGGCGCAGGGTTGACTTTCAGGTACTAAAACTTCGACCTCTGGTGTAATGGTTGACTGGGTTTCTCTGGACGGTACTGACATGGTACGGTGATGTTTGATGTTGTTTGTTCATCCTCCTCTTGTGCAACGTCCCCAAGGTGACCTAACAATGCAACTTCTTTTGATCTTCTTTTGTAAATGTTTAGTCTTTTTGTATAGTAAAGTGATCATTTCTGGACTTGTAAGAGTTGTGTGTTTATTACCAATTGCCTCCTTGAGTCACATTTCTTCTTGAAATCCCAAGTTCCAAGGATGAGGAATTCAAACCCACAGGAAAAATAAGTAACACTCAACATATGGACCTCACACTGCTTTTATCAGCAGCACCAGGGGAACCTGGAAAAAATTCAGATTTCTTGGTGCCATCTTAACCCACTAAATTGGGATATCTGGTTTTGTGTCCTTGGAATCTGAAATTTAAAAAATTTAAAATACAGCATACATGAAGGCATGAATCCAGAAACATGCATATACTGAAGGGCAATGACGAGTGCACACCATGCACATACCCTCAGACCTACAGCTAGAACATGAGTGTCCTTCAGAGCCTCTTAGATGCACTCCTCCCCACGACTCTCTCACTGAGCAGTGATCAATACCTTAAATTCTATATTAGCCATTCCCTGGCTTTCTTTGGAGATTTTATACCTGAAGAGCTAGCCCTAAGTAAAACATTATATAATTTTGCCAGAATTTGAATTTTATATAGATATAATCAAACGGTAAATTTGCCCGTGACTTTATTCTTTCACTCAAAATTATGCATTTGCATAATTTATCCATGTTGCTATATACTAGTATAGCTACAGGTCATTCACTTTTTGTTAGTTGTTAGTATTGATGACTCAATATGATAGCACACTATTATACGATTTTGCCACAATTTATTCATCCATTTTACTGTTGACGGATGTTTGTGCTGTTTCCAGTTATTTTCTGTTATGAGCAAAGCTCCTGTAAACATTATTTTACACTGTCCTGGCTAACAGTGACTGGGAAAACCAACCATGTACAAAAGACTACATACTACATGATCTCATTTACATATAGTTCAAAGCATGCAACAACAATGCATGGTGTTAAAGTCAGGATGCTAGGTACTTCCTGAGTGACAGTGACCGGAAGGGAGCACACTGGAGGTGGGGGGAGGGTTTGAGAGGCGGGGGAAAAGGTGTACCATCTTCCATTTTCCAAATTTGAATGCAATGCAGTTACAGTCAGAAGAGTTCTTTTCTAGTGTGTGCACCATGGCAAGTATGTCTTCCAACTGCAGCCAGGTAAAAATAGCACCCTACCTGAGCTTGACACTTGGAATTCTCAAAGGCCTATAAATATTCAGGGCTCCGAGGCCCAGCCCCCGGGGGGCGGCAGCAGCTCTGGCTTGCTGAGCATTTGAATGTTGGCTCAGAGAATAAAAAGGAGAGGAGAGTACTTGAACCACCTTTCACCACTAAGCCACCTCTGGGATTTCCAAATAAGGCTTTGGCGGAGGGAAGGTGACACGGGGAGCCTGCACCCCATCACTCCACACTCTTGGAGGCTGGCCGTCAGGGAGGACCTGGCCGTAACTGGCTGAAAATGCCTCACCAAAGTGAAAGGGGAGTTCAATCTCCAGGTGCGGTCACGATGTCACCAGCTACCCGGCCTCATCCCCGTGTCTCAGGCAAATGTCGACTTTATGCCTCAAGAATCGTTTGGTCACTCCCTTCCAATCTCGCCTGGTTTCCTTCTGTGGGGATCTGATCATACTTGAGCAGATTGGGAAGGATTTAAGGAAATCCTGGGAAGGAGACAAACATGGCAGTTTGTAAATTATTGAATCTGAGCAACTGGGTTCATTCGTTCATTTGCTCAGACATTTCAGCCGAGTGGCTCTGGAAGTTTGTGTCTCTGACATAATGAAATGATTCTACGATAGGCCTCTTCCAGGCTCACCCTTGCTAACCCGTCCCAGTCTGGCCCTTGTTTCCGCCACGCAAAGGGAACATGGACTTCCCAGGATTTGCCCGAATAACTGGAGTCCTGCTTTACCAAACTCTCCAGAAAGAGTAGAGAGACTTTAGGAGCTTTTACACTTTACCGGGAAGAGAGAGGAGAAACGTGACTAATACCAGACATGCTAGAGGGCTTTCTTTTCCCTGTTTCCTTGTGAAGAAATACTATGTTCTCAGGACCTTGGACTAGTGACGGCACAGGCTGCTTTTTCATCGATAAAGGAGGTGAGGGCAACGCTAATGGAGAGGTGTGTTCCAGGGACGGGGCAGGATCCCCCCAGAGAAGAGATCACATTCCAGTGACAACAATAAACCATAAACTGAAAACCACTAGTTCCTGACTAATCCTGGTGAATGGAGGAAGACTTCTCAACAGCACAGAATGGGGAGCTTGATGTGGATCTTGTTAAGATTCGACAGCTTTTAAAATATATATATATATTTTCTTATTGCTTTCAGAAAGGAAGAGGGAGAGAGAAACAGCAATGAGAATCATTGATCGGCTGCCTCCTGCACACCCTCTATTGGGGATTAAGCCTGCAATCTGGGCATGTGCCCTTGACCAGAATTGAACCCAGGACCCTTCAGTCCACAGGCCGAAGCTCTATCCACTGAGCCAAACCAGCTAGAGCAAGATTTGGCAGCTTTTAAAGTAAAAAAAGAGCAGTGATAACGAGAATTTGAAAGAGGAAAGAAAATTTATGCCAGGCTAAATTGGTTTTTGATTTCATGGTCTAAAAAGGAGGAGTGCGACGAGACGTGGTGAACACAAAACTTGGCAAGGGTTTGACGATGTTTCTTTAATCTTTTGGGGGCAGACGTGGACCAGTTAGAATAACCAATGAAATGATGACAGAATGTGTCCTGGGCGAATGGGTCCGTTACCTAGAGAATGGGGGTGGGGTGCGGGGGCATCTCATCAGTGGCAGAGGGCACGCTGTGTCTCAATCAGTTGTGCAGGGAAAGAAATGTGTTACTAATACTGAAAAGTCAACGGCAAGGACTGAAGGTTTTCCCTCTAATGATGTCTCGTGCACTAAGGGGCTGGGAGGGGCGTGGAGGTACAACTAGCAGGAGAGAACCGTGTCTGGCCCGCAAACACGACACATCCGATGCCCCCACGCAGGAGGTTGCATCTGTGCGTGGCTGCAGAGAACCTAGCGGGGGCTCTGGCCCTGGGTAGCCAGCGTGGCACTGGCTGCCCCACCTCCCCAACCTGGATCTGAGATGGGGCTGAAGCCGAAGCAGGAAGTAGCTAATGTATTGGTTCCAGCAAAAGTATTTTAAAAGATTCCAGTCTGCGTCATGGAGAAGCCTAGGCGAAAGTGAATATAAATAATATAAAACCCTGTTCCAGTCCAAAATGGCCAGGATATAATTGGGACATTGTTTTAAAATGCTGCCCGCTGTCCATTGTGACAGGGGCAGTAATTAAATAAAGCTGATTTAGAGGAAGCCAATCAGGCTGGACAGAGGGGCTAAGGAACTGAGATGTTGAGATTAGAAAGAAGGCTTCGGGATATGAGATCCGCCATCAAATATTTGAAAGCAACGATACAGCAGGGCAGAACAATGGAAAGAACACAGGGCTTTTAACTCAGATGGTGGGAGACCTCAGGGTTCCTTTCAAGCCTGGGATTCTAGGAAACGTGTATTATGGTTTTATAATAAATCAGGATCAGAATGCCCAGGGCCCACCCTTTTGGTATCAAAACCAAGGAGCAGAGTGGAGCCCGAGCTGCCGGGGCCTCTGCCAGCTGGGCTTCCTGTGGTAGTCATTCTAAGGAGGGCATCCAGGGGACACACCAGAGGCTTAGGTAACAAACAGGAAAGCTGGATAAATGTCATGATGACGAGAAGATAGACTCAAAAAAAAAGAAAAAGATGGCAGAAGCAACTGGAGAAGCCAAAAAAATCAGGATGCCACAATCAGTGGGACGAGGGTAGAAGGAAGGAAAATAATGAAGCCAGCGTTGGAGTGGGATGGCAGAGTGACAGCGAGAGACAGGTTAGGATGAGGATTACTACAGGTCAAAGCCTGTGACCACAACCTTTGGCGTACTGGATGACACTCCAACTGATGAAGCCACCCATTTTGTAATTGGACTAGAGGCCCAGTGCACAAAATTTGTGCACTTGGGGGGGCTGTCCCTCAGCCTGGCCTGCACTCTCTTGCAGTCCAGAAGCCCTCAGGGGATGTCCACCTGCCAGCTTAGGCCTGCTCCCCTTGGATGCTGTGCTTGCCAGCCAAGAGCCCAGCTTCTGGCTGAGCAGCACTCCCCCTGTGGGAGCGCACTGACCACCAGGGGGCAGCTCCTGTGTAGAGCTTCTCCCCCCCTGGTGGTCAGTGTGCGTCATAGCGACCGGTTGTGCTACCATTTGGTCAATTTGCATATTAGCCTTTTATTATATAGGATTGTTTGTCTTTTCTTGTTGAGTTGTAGGGATTTTTAAAATATATTCTGGATATTAAATCTTTATTAGACCACCCTGGCTGGGTAGCTTAGTTGGTTAGAGTGTCGTCCTGATAAACCAAGGTTGTGGGTTTGATCCTCAGTCGGGACACATATAAGAATCAACCAATGAATGCATAAATAAGTGGAACAACAAATCGATGTTTCTCTTTTTCCTTCTCTATCTAAAGTCAATAAATAAAAAAATTTAAAAACCCTATTAGATATATGATTTGAAAATATTTTCTCCCCTTCTGTAGTTTTTACTTCCTTGGTCATGTCCTTTGATAAACAAAAGTTTTCATTTTGATAAAGTGCAACTTATCTAGTTTTTCTTTGGTCATTTGTGTCTTTTGGTGTAATAGCTAAGAATCCATTGCCAAATCTAAGTTAATAAAGATGTACTTCCATGTTTTCTTCTAAGAGTTTTATAGTTTTAGCTCTTATACTTAGGTCACTGATCTACTGGTGTGAGGCAGGGGTTCAACCTCATTCTTTTACAGATGGTCGTTCAGTTGTCCCAGCACCATTTGGTGAAAAGTCTGTTGTTTCTCTATGGAATGAACTTGACACCCTTGTCAGAAATCAATTGGTCATAAATGTATTGATATTTTTCTGGACTCTCAATTCTATTTCATTGGTCTGTTAGTCTGTTCTTATGCCAGTACTACTCTGTAAGTTTTGAAGTTTGGAAAGTATAAAGCACCTGACTTTATTTTGTGTGTGTGACTATTTTGG